AATGTGGCAACTTAAATCGATGCACTTGTGTGGAATGTTCTACGTTGATTTTTCTGTCTCTCATGCTAGAAGTCACCAAGAGGCGATGTGTGCCAGCATACAGATGGATACTCTCGCGATATACAGAGTAGAGAACTTATTTGCATACTGGATATCAACATGAGGAAATGCAATCTGTGCCAGCATATCGACGTATACTCTGGCGAACTCCCCTGAAGCAAGAACTGCCATAGACGAGTTATTTTATTTTGCGCACTAGGACTCGGTGCAACTAGATAGCTAGTCACACTTTAAGGTGTGCGCGATATACAGAGTAGGGAACTTATTTGCATACTGGATATCAACATGAGGAAATGCAATCTGTGCCAGCATATCGACGTATACTCTGGCGAACTCCCCTGAAGCAAGAACTGCCATAGACGAGTTATTTTATTTTGCGCACTAGGACTCGGTGCAACTAGATAGCTAGTCACACTTTAAGGTGTGCGCGATATACAGAGTAGAGAACTTATTTGCATACTGGATATCTACATGAGGCGATGCGTGCGCAGGAAACCGATCGAAAGTTTCCCTGGTTAGTGCATGGTGACTCATAGAATGCTATGAATTGAAGGAGGAATTTGGAACATATAGTGAAATGTTTCAACAATTGGAGCGCTCGTTATACATTATCATTGGATGTAGCAGGATGGCGTAACGGTTCAAGTTGGCAAACTTAACATCAGCAGATGCAGATATATGTCAAGGGAATGGGGATAGTGTCAAGAAAAGCAAAAGGACGAAAAGGAAAAACGTGGCATAAAGGTTAGGATGATGATAAGGTGTGGATGTATTTATGCCACTGTGTGATTCTAAGTCATTTCGCTGACTCCATTCCTGATTCCCGGTTGTCACATTGACCTGAAATCTACATTCCCCTACACAGCTCAGATTAAGTTAGAGAATTCATGAACTGGTGCTGTTTTAATATGATTACCGTTAACGTTTTTTCAACCAAAACCAAACACAGAGCGTGGAGGTAGATGCTGACATATACTCAAGCCACCTCACTCGATGAAGACTTATAACTTAGTCAAACAGACAAAATCAACGGTGGTTGAACACTCAAAGCTTTCTTGTGTTTGTCACTCTAAACAACTATGTTTCACAGTCATATAAATAGGGCAGAGTGAATCTTTGTGCAGTACATTTAACCCGTAGTAGGCTGTTAGATATTTCACCAGTACCACAGATAGTGTAGATAGCAAAGGCCGATCGAGTATTTTGTCACTCATCAGGAATGGCATGACTTTTCAAGTACTTGACATAGCTCATCGGTTTAGGCAGATGACAACAAACGGGTCACAGGCTCGAGCCCGCCCGACCTACCGAGGTCTGGGCAGCCAGGTAGTATCATTAGCCCTCACACAAAAGATGTGGTTTAGTGTTTACTACACGAATGTGCACAACGTTGCTGAGTGCATTTCGATTTGAGATAGTTAACATGAAGAAACAATTCGTTCCCTACTATGAAACAAATGCAGACCATTCATGAAAAGGTAATCATTTATGAAGCAAAAGATGCATCCAAACATTCTTAAATTTTTATGAGTGCATGTAGAAGACTCTGCTTTTTCAGTATCAAGTAGCAGAACTATATTCTCTGTGTACTCTTAGTTGATTAACGAGTCTCATATGAAATCTATTCGTCGAAAGTCAGGAGAGAAGGAAAATCTCATAGACTTTGATAAAGAAACCAGGTACGGAGTGGAGAGATTAGGAATCTTTTTTGTAGATACTTCGTCATAGTCACTGATGTGACCATAGGTGTTCGAATATGCAACTTTAAGTAAGGTGATATACGTCCTAGATACCTCTTTCAGTAAGAAACTACCGCGTTTTAGAAAGCAACAAATGGATAGAGGTGTTAGTTAAATTTTTACTTCCCCGGATGTGCAATCTTAAATCGTTTGTGCTATTCAAGAAGTTTTTTAGTGCTTAGGACTGCGGAATATAAGTTGCGGAGATGCACTGGTCGAAACACTCGACCTTCAACTTGTGCGTTTAAAGAGAAAAAGCAATACCTTCGCATTACCGCAGAGCTCAAGGGACGTCTGCATGAGACTTGTCACACATGGTATTTTTTGGACTAATGGATTGAGATTTCTTTTTGCTAATGCCGAACAACAAAAACCGATGCCAACGGTATCGGTAGACCATGGGGTAGGGAGGAGTGTTTCATTTCGAGGACTGACCTGCTCTACGCCCCCCTGTCCATAGGGAAGACAGCACCAGCACAGTACTGCTAGTCATTCGCAGGACACACCTTACTGCTGTCACACCTGGGTCCAACTAGCACTGCGACTTCGCATTCAGACCCCATCATAGCATAGAAAACAAACTTATAGCAGTAACTGCTTTTTGTTTTATCACTATCTAATAGATCTTCCTGGTATGCTAGGACCTCAAGGAATGAGCGCCCCATCCAGTGTAGCCCTTTAAGTCATAGTGATATGCAATCCCAACTAACAAGTAGAGGTATCAGTCAAATACCCATCAAAGGACAGCTATGCTAAGAAGCAAAATGCTCGGTCTTACTGTACCATCAGACATCAGCAAACTACAAAATTTTGACCATTGGTGTTTTCACAGAGTTGCTTCCGTGGAAGAGTTACCATGCATCTTTCGAACTCCTTGGTTGAAACTAGTTGTCATGAGTTTAACAACAGTTTTATGCTACCTACTCGAACATTATGAGATTACTGACCTCTTATTTTCTACTTGTATTTGTCCGACATCTGAACTCACGATGACACACTTCCTGAACCTGCTTCTGCTATAGTGAAGTGTCTAATTTTTGCGTTAGTGTAACTTCTGGATGGTGACAATTAATTATATCCCTTTTCGTGTGGATGCAAACAAATCACATTACCTGGTACGTTACTTTAACAATATCAAGAAAACAGAAAAAACAATGCAAACTAATGACAACAGTAATACGGAACTAGAAAAAAGGTAGAAAAAAGCAAATTACGACGATGAATGGGCAATAAAACATTAATTTGTTATTGCAGTGAGGTCCATGTATATCACATGTCCTGTGCTTATTGACCAGTCCTTTCGGGAATGCCACTCGTATGGCCTGCTCAAATTAGGAAGTTAGATGGTCGCCTCGGTTTGAACAAATATGTTTTTGTAGTGCCTTTTCCACAACCAGTATATCAATATGAAAAATATATGTGGTGCATTCTAGTCACTAGGGTTTACGCAATCTCCGAGTTTTACTAATTAGTCTGCTTTCTTAATTTAGTACTTTTCGTCTAGCCTAATATTAGTCAATAAGTGGAGTTGATAAGCGCCAACTATGCTTTTGTCAAATTTCTCCAGTGATAACAGTGATTGTTTAGGGTAATGAACAAAACGGATAAAAAGAACACTACCTGGTAAAATCGGACAACCGAGGTATGAAGCACTACTACTAGTATACAATTTTTAAGCACGTAAGAATAACTAGTTGGACCAATAAGCCGTCTTAGACTCAGTGTATATTTGATGAAACACACACCAACGTGAGACATGGAACACAGTACATCGACTAAGTTTCACATACCACAACAGTGATCACAAAATCGCAGTTCAAGAAATACATACACGACAGACGTAGTGTTTCGCGCCGCCCCAACAAGTGACAATATCTTATGAAGCCCAAAGATCCACTTATGCTCCTATTAATCTACAGCAATAAGAGTTAAAACAAGGCTGTCTACTTTCACGCACGATATTCCTGATTGTGGTGGACTGACTGGATCATGCAGCAAACAGTGAGGAGCGAGAAGAGGGGGATACGCTGGACTGAGGAACAGAACCTAGAGGATCTGGATTTCGCCGACGACTTGAGTCTGATGTCACACAAACTTGAAGATCTACAGGCGAAGACTGACAAGTTGATAGAAGAGGTAGGGCAGGGCAGCGAAGACGGGACTTCAAGTGAATATAGAGAAGACAGAGGTGATGAAGATACCACACCAACAACTCCAATAACAACAACAACAAACTCCAATCACGATCAACGGGAGGAACTCAAAGGAAGTAACCTCCTTCACCTATCTAGGAAGCACTGTTTCAACTACAGGCGGCACGGACGAGGACCTCAAAGTCAGAATCGGAAAAGCAAGACAGGCGTTCATTAACCTGAAACCAGTGTGGAGATCTTCTGCACTGCACTCAGTATGTGGAACAACATCCGGATTTTCAACACCAACATCAAGTCAGTGCTCCTATATGGTTCAGAGACTTGGCGCGTTACGAAATGCATTTCCAACAAACTACAGACATTCATCAACGACTGCCTACGCTGGCTCGTCACTGAAGACCAGATGGCCAGAAAGAATAAGCAACAATGAACTCTGGTCAGGCACCGAACCAACCAAGAACCTACCACTCAACAAATATGCAGAAGGAAGTGAAGATGGGTTGGGCATACAATGAGAAGGCCGACTAGGGACATCACACGCCAAGCCAGGCCCTCGAGTGGAGTCCAAAAGGGAAGCGACGAGTTGGACGTCCGAGGGTGACATGTAGGAGGTCGTGCGAGGAAGAAATGAGAGCTTCTGGACTGTCGTGTATTCAGGTGCAAAAGATTGCAGAGAGTGCACTGTAGACGTGCTACCGAAGTCCTATGTTCCACTAGGAACCCAAGGGACAAAATAATAATAATAATAATAATAATAATAATAATAATAGTAATAGTGAATATCGAGTGAAAATAATGGTGAAAATGAATAAGGTCACATGAAACACTAAGATTCATGCAAAAAGCTATGGGTCGCGTCTGTTGTGTATACGTATCATAATATAGCTGCTACAGCTTAAACAGTGATTTGAAACCCTGGTTAACGCATAAAAACAGACACCTAAGAGAGTCAATGAATTTGAAAGTGTGTTCACTGAACAAAAGCAAAAAAATTAGGTATAGTAAGGAAAGCGTTAAAGCACATGAAGAAAATCTACCAATGACTTACCACGAAAACCCAAATTCGTAGCCACTTCAAACAAGCGAGCGTTCGGATCCTTGTTCAGTTTGGAAACAATTGTGTCAGGAGGATGAGATACAACGGCGCAGAACACACCAGCTAAAAGATATGCTAGTTAAGAAATGAACCATACCGATGTAACCGGCAGCAAAAGTTACAACTAACTGTTCACCTTTTGTACACTGTTCACGCGGTTTGGGTACAACATACTTGTAGATTGCCTCGACAGTACGTTCAAAACAGGCAAATTTCATCATAGTATATGGAATCTGACGACACCAGAGCGGAGGAAGACCTTTATAGAATCCAACTAAGCCTTCGTTTTTGTACATTTTCGGTACACCTTCCCGTAGAGTGTTCGCCCAACCAGGCATTGTTTGAATACGCACTTTTACAGCCTCCATAGGGCACAGCATTATGTCAGCGAAAAACTCCGCACTGGCACTAGCAGCAAGGTACACGGATGTTCTCCACAAATACGCATTTTCCTGCACGAAAGCTTATATATTTCACTATAAGTACCTCTGACAGAAAACCATTGTAAACATGCTTAAAAACTTCGTAAAAACCGAACTTTCCCAACCCTTGTAGAGAATATCCAATAAAAGTTGGTGCCCAGCCTTTTCCTAAACCTCTAATGCCCTCCTCTGCAATAGTGGTCTTGAACCCGTTCGTTATGCTTTTGTATTTTGCTCGGTCAACTTGTATACGGCATTTCACCAGATCCAGAGGCACTACTCCCGTGTGTGTGATGCCACAACTGAGAACGCCACCAAGGCCGCAAAGGGCGTAGTATTTAGCTGAACCATACTCACAGCTAGTTTTCACTGACATTCACAAGCGATACGAAGTGCCCGCAATACTGTTGGGTTAAAAGTATCTCACTGTATTGATCCTTTATGCAGAAAAACAATATACAAAATCCATTCGTCATCGGATTCTGATATGAAAGGCTGATTAGCCCTTAATAACTCCTAATATATGCAGTACCAGTGTGTAGCACAACTTTTCATCTAAATTATTTCATACAGTAAGTAAATAGTTTAGTGGTTTCAAACGTTGATAGCGTAGTAGAAGAGGCTTCAGCTTAACAGGCCTCCGTTTCCAGAAGTAACTGATCATAGATTATTTTGACTACTCACCTGTGTGTATGAGGAATAAAGGGGAAGCGCAAGCTGGTTGTGATTCAACTGACTCACGCTTTATATATAGGCAGCGAAATCGATATTGAAAGAATGCAGACGTAATGACTTGAACCATCTGCATGGTAAGAGTTTCTTGATACCTAACAGGTATTAGGGATTAGCTATTTCTGATGCCTAATGTGCTCCGTTTTCGACCCTACTCTTACCTATATCCTTTGACATTATGAGTAAAAATTGAATCAGTCAATTAGTTGTCGAGGCATGTTAGGATATCATATTCAATTTCATAACCTTCTCTCAGTATCCTGTACTTAAAAATAAGAATATCACGGACCACCGGCCATTTCTGGTGTATCTGAAGCTTTATTCGTTGGACCGATCAGGTTTAATTTCTCTGGATTGTTTCTGGACACAACTCCTTTTTATTGTGGGGATGGATGAATATGTTTCTGAAATCCAGCTGAAAGTGCATGAATGTGTTGAAAATGCTGCAGAAATACCTTCAGCTGAAGTTTTTAAAAATTTGTCTAGGGGTTACTATTTCCAAATTGGCATGAAATGGGTTTTCGTCACAGCTTACGTGGTATTCTACGCATTTGAGGGACTAAAACTCACCACTCCGGTGACAGCTCTGGTCCCGTTCAGCTGAGACTATATGCATGACATCGAATATGTTCTGCATTTCCAGGGTTTATTTTAGACTGATTGTTGTTTGTCCCATTTTGAAACCGAGCCGAATGGTAGTGTAAGAAAATTCTACCCACCTAGCATATGTTTGCCCTACGTAGTCTCACGTTTTCAATGGTAGATTAGATTACACACAGCATGCATGTTGGACCAGATGGTGTGTGGCGGTATTGAATGTGTAACAGTTATGCGAAGCTTAACCAATCCCACATAACTCGACGTGCTCTAGTACCTGTCTAATCATTACCTTACTTAACGTGTAACTACTGATAAGAAAAAACAAATCACAGGGCCAGGCATTCAGGGGTATATTCAAAGGGGTAACATGGCTAAGTGGAATGAATGTGATGATGACCATCAATAGAAATGCTTATCCATATTATCCGCGTAATATGGGTGAGCTGGGGGTTGTGATGACGTGCGTGCTAACCAGCACAAATGGAAGCGGCGAACGACATTGAAGCCTGCTCGGACGCTGACTCATCAGGACAAAACTTAAAATGCCTTAAGCGTCCAAGACAAGCTGGACGTTTATCCAGTTGGCATTTGGTTAATTCAGTTCGATCTGTTAATCCTGTCCCAAGTCGTATTTTGGCGCCGGGAATATGGACTACAAGCGCCTGGTTGGAATCAGGTTCCGGTACGTATCGATCTCTGAGGGAACTCGCTTTGACCTTTTCTTCCAACAATCATAGAGAAAGCTAACGGAGATGTAAGTAAACGACTGTATAACTGTGGAGAAGACCAGTCGGCAAGCATTGAGCCGGACGTGATCATCTTTATTATATCAGTAATACCGTCACGGTTAAAGCAAACCAAAGCTTCCGAAAAGGGTAGATAGATAATATCAATTCTGCTACGATGGTCGGCATACCAGTTCATATTTCCTCCTTCTAAATCTTTACATTTGTGGATTTAAAATGCCTGATTTGTGCAAAGTATTCCCCCGCTCAGTCGCACATAAACCACCGTATTATGCCGAAGGGAACAGATAAGATATTCACCCGTGCGTAACTCTTCAGGCATTTTCGGTGACCACCCTTGGAGGGCGGAGTAATGTGCCCTGGGTTCCCAGAATCGACTAATTCGCCTTGATTTGCAGAAGTTCTCAGCGATACATCTTGAGTTCCAACCAAAGTTAGTGCTCCATCATATAGAAAATCTACGTGGATGTTTTCCAGCCACAAAGAGGCATAGGCTACCAGTAGTCACGGCTTGCACGGTACTAGCTCGTCGTATAGGTCAGAGGCCAAAGGCCTTGTATATTTAGTAGATTACTCGTATACACTTGAGTAGGTAATTAACGGTAACGTGCTTGCATACACCGACTGCCCAAGACGTTTAATGCCCCACTTCGTCTTCAGTTGGCCCAGTTGACCATTTGACAGGCGCCGCATGCTAAAGTAGGCTTTGAAGTGGACAAACATGCTCATGATCATAAGCGGATGCCACTGTCTGCCTACTTTCAATGCCATCCTAGGTGTTTTTTGTCTGTCTGAACACTTCGCCTATGTGATCGTCGCAATTCCTTTTCCATTTGACCCGTGAATCTCTTTTCAACCTGAGCATTTTAAGAGTAAAGCTACCCATTACCCGACACTACCTAGAGCACTTTGGAGTTGAGAGTGGGACATATTTTTGAATAAGGTCTTGGCAAGTGTGATTCTAGAACACATGTCCCATCCCACTAAGTGTGGTTAGCTCCCAACTCTATTTTTCACACAGTTCTTGAAGGAGCTTGGCCACCCAGCCATCCGAAGCTCCAGCAACACTTATACAGCATGAAGTTGGCCCAGTCCTACCGATTAACTTAGAAGCCGATGGCGACATGATCACTTCTGTTCAAAAAGGGGACGAGTTAGCTGCCAAAACTCGCCGTTCAAGAAGATGTAGTTCAGGCGAGGGAGGGTTTGGGCGTCTGTAGGTCACGTTATGGGCCTCACACCACCACAGTCTTCGGTTCTTAGACATAGTTGAAACATCAAAATTTATACGAGTTGTTATCAATATTAGCCAGAGGTAGGTCAGCAGTTCAAAGAATCAGAAAGCCCGTGTGCTGTAGTTTGAGAAAAAACAATTTTTATCTGAAATTCAGTTGTCACGTTGAAAGTTCATGAGTAGCACACACTGTCTCCAGTAGACTGGGACAAACTCGCACAAAAACAGACGAATCCTTCGACGCAGATATCCATAATAGTGGACTTACTGAGCTTCCAGAAAAGAACTACGGTTAGGTGTTGCCTTGTTCACCTCCAGATTTTCTGCCTTGGTGAAACATCATGTTTTAGGAGCAGCGAGCTCCCAACTCAAAATTTTAGGGAAAATTCGTGTCTCAACAACTCCAATAAGGTGAGCATTAACATCGCATCATAGATCGCTGGTATTTTTGCGTCGGTTAATAAGAACTGAGTCCGACAATGATTGCCGACATCCCACATAGAAACGTGCCGCATCAATTACTTTTTGAACCAGGACTAACTGCAGAACTGGGAAGTGTAGGTCATTCTGAAAGTAATTGCGCGAGGCCAATAATCCGCTTTCTTCCTTGCGTATTTAATACTACTAATAATAACAATAAACTTCATACAACGGAAGTCAAATGAAAACAAACCGGTTTACAGGTTTGATCGTTTTAGCAATGCGAACTGACCGTCATGTACAGTGTCAAGCTATACATTAGTCACCATTACTCACGGCACATAAGGGATGCTTTTAGGGAAAGAATGTCAACGCTTCACAGGCGGCAAAGAAGAAAATGGATGAACGCCTACATAATCTTTGACCGTACTGAACCAAGCCCAGTTCGAAAACAGTTATTCGGCCATTGTTCGGTTCCTCCAAGGTAGGGCGGGTAGTACAGCCGTGAAGTTGGATTGTTCGCATTCGTCAGAAAGTTTTGATGGCATGGTGCATTCTGGCAAATGTGATTACTACGATTCCAAATGGATGAAGGATTGGTTAGGCAAACCCGAAAAATGAATAGCAGAAAAGAGCGGCAGGCGAAATTCGAAACAGGAGCACAAAAATACTACGCAGAAGTATATGAACCATGATACATGTAGGTGAATTCACTGCACCGATTACGGAGGTTACTTGAAGTATCCGAAACCCAGCGTCTACTGGTAAGTTCATGGGGAAGAAGATGAAGGTGTATACGAAAGTAGTGGGAACCAAGCTGAAGCCAAAGACATCACTATGGAGCAGCAAGAATAGAGGCTTTTGGACCAGGTATTCACTTACATGTAGAAAGCCTACGTACAAAAGTTTAATGAAGTCATGAACATCTGAATAAAGCTCATGCTTTTTGCTGTGATGGTAACCACGCTCTAAAGGCGGTACGTTTGAAATTGTGTTGCATTTTGACGTGATTTCGTAACTTTGTTATTAACGTCATCATAAAGCTGCCGAATTCTCGAATGACTTGTCACATATCATCCATGCAACTAGATGTGGCTGATGCATGTAAAAAGGCGCGGACACAACTGTCTGTGGAACAGTGCATCAACAATACCCAAATGTTGGCGACACCAAAAGCAGATTCCTCTTGCATCAGCATGAGTCAGTCAGCTTATACTCCAGATATGCTGAAGAGAAGAAGAACTGCGTTCGATAAGACAGACAACGTTAATAATGATAGAAATACCTCTGCATGCCCAATAGGTAATAAGACCGCAACACTAAATGTTGCAGAAGACGTAAAGCTTAATGGAAGCTCCACACCTTTTGTGAGACTGACTAGACTTCGGCCACCAAGTGTCACTTCTTCCAGAAATCGAAAGCCTGAAGTCCTCCATAGAGGAACTAAGGGCGGAAACACGCAGACTGAAGGATGACAAACAGAATAACGCACCACAAGAAAGTATGTTAAAGGCGCCGGAGGTGTCACCCCAGCCGGATGAAATTAGAGCTCAGATTGGCAACCTCTTGCCACTGAGCATCTTGAGATCGAAACACTATCCAAGGTAGATCATCTGGTAAACTTTATCACCACTGAAGTAAGTAAGTAAGTAAGAGACTTGCACTTAAATTGAACGCAGTAGTTTATA